TCTATACACACATTACATTGCCTTCTTTTATATACCAGCCTACCCTATATCTAGCAATTACTTGAGCATTCCTGAAAGAACAAGATAGTTCTAGAAACTAGAGGGCGCCACAGTGGTCATGTGACTCGCTGACGCAACACTATGTTCATGTGACCAATAAGAGGAACACAGAACAAAAATGTTACATATATTTTTTTATGCTGTGGAAGCAGCTCGTGTACATGTGACTTGTGTTTTAAAATAATAAGGTCATCAAAGAGAAGATAAGCTATATTGTCATACATGAATTGTCAGGAAGAATGAGGACAAATGTAAACATTTAAGATAATTAACTTGCTAATACAGTGACACTGATGAAGAAGAGGATAAACCCAGTCTCACAGACACTGTTGGGATGAAACAAGGCAGTAGTAGACCATCACAAATTTCAACTCTTAAATAAGTCTTCTAATACTCTTCATCCTCAAATTAGGAGGAATACACACCCAAAGTATCACATGTATTAATTATGTGTTTAAGCTGAACTGTTTACTTTGGGATACAGATAACATCAGCTTTGTTTATGAGGATAATGGAGAACTAAAATATCTATCATGTTTCATGCAGTTAGGTTAAGTATGTTATACTAAAACAATTTTCGAGTCTCATCCACGTCCAGTCATGCTCTAACTGATGACCATGCATGTTGACAACAGCCCTGCTGCATAGTTTCCATTGCAAAAGGCTCTCATGTCCAAGTTACACCACTCCACTCTGTTTGCCTTCCATATTCCATCTATTGTACAATAATAATGGTATTCAAATGTCTGTTTTAACAGTTCAATCTCACAGAAACCCACAGTTGATGCATTTGGAAACTTAATCAGTATGTCTCTATGTGAAATAACATGAATATCTATTTCATTTTCCAGCTGCTTAATGTATGTGATGGTAAAATGTTTATGCCATGGAAACAGCTTGTGTCATTTTCAAGGTAGAGATTCTTCTCAGTTATGTTGTGTACTGTTGCCTGGAATATGTGAACTGCTTTTGATACTGACCTTTGTGTTAATGGATTCTAATCTTTTGCAAGATGCTGTACATTGCTTACCTTGGCTGGAGAATGACTTTCTGCAGATCTTGTTCTGGATGTACCTGTTGCCCAAACTTATCCATATTCCTTTGTTTTCCAAAGCCATTAAGTGTAAAGGATACCCCCCTTTCTTGGAAATTTAAAATCCCCAATGTGAACACATCTTTGTGATCTGAGTGTATGAATATTTTGCATTGGAAATGGCTGTTACATAACTTATTCAAAAGCAGTCAATTTTTAATGGCATTGCACTATCTACAAAACACCAAACAATGTAAAAAAAGTAGTTCTGATACATTACATTCCAGTGAATTTATACTGGTGTGTGATTTGTTGATTTACAGATTCATGTAATGTTTTAATGTAACATACCCAAACCACTGAATTACACTTATCTAGTACATTTGAATTCCAAACAGCGAATGAATTTCCTGAAAGGTTGAGGTAAACGTGAAATATCAGAAATATTCACTGAACTGAACTGGTTACCTTGTTTCCAGAACTCAAAAAGGTAATAAAATAAGTTTTTCTGATGTTGTTAAGGTAAAAGTAAAATAATGAAAATATTAACAACTAAATTGAGCTGGTTAGTTTGATTCCAGAACATATAACAGTTGTTAGTGGGGTAAAGGTACAAATGAAATATAACAAATATTCATACCATGAAAAAAAAATGGGTTGTCTATTTTCACAATAAATAATAGCTTTAGATAACATATCAAAGTCTCTTCTGACACCTAAAAAATGCCTTGTATATCAACAGAGAAGTAATGTACACCTCGAGAATCAAACCAAGAGCAGTTAGTAAATAATTTCAGCTGTGTTCACAGGGTCAACACAGACTTCATATATCAGAATTATGAATAAGTTATGGACACAAGTAAGCAGAGCAGTGCAATTTTATTATGAAAAATAGCTTAAAAATTACTTAATTTTATAAGTACAAAAAATTATTCATTTACAAGCTAGATATGTTTAACCCCAGATATATAATTAATAGAAGTTATAATAATGTAATAGATTGCAATAAATTATAAGTATGTTTATATTTACACACATTTAAAGAACAAATGAAATTGAATGACCTGTCTTTAACTTTCAAATGCCGATGCACATCAATTGGATGCACCTGTCGATTGATTTATTACATTAGAAAAAAAAACTACTGGAGGAAATAGTTTGGTTCAACATTCTACAGCTTATGTAGCTTCTGCAAATATCTTACTTTAAATATGATATTTGTAGGATTTTGCCACTTTGAAAATTTGAAAAGGTTTCATTGTGATACATTTTCTTTAAGAAACAATAAAAAATTCTTACCTTTGTTGTAGGTTTCAATTACTGATTTTTAAGTTTTCCTACATTCTTGTAAAACTTCATTATAAAGTTTTGTTTCATAAAACTGGAAATTTTAACTTCCTTTTGATTTGAAAAACACAACATGCAATTTTATCATGTTTAAAGTATTTGGTGCACATTAAATTTTTATCATACCAAGATAATAAACAAGCATACTTTCTTTTAAAAATACTAACTGGAAAGTTTCAAACCCATCTTATATTCATTTTCTGTGATTTTCTTTCTCCATTCATGAAGCAGTTACTTAGACTGATAAGGCCTAATATAGTAGCCTTGTCTGTGAAATGAAAATTGATAAATTTGATTGCAAAATTCCTTAACTAAGCTTACCTCTTCTTGTTCCAAGAAAATTTTTTTTATTCAATACATTTCAACACAAAAATATATTATTAGTTTTTTGATGTGTAGAAAAATGTGTAGACAAGTTTATTTTCTACTATTTTTTTTAATTCAGTGGTAAAATTTTGCCCTTGCATAAAGTTTTATGAATTGTTTGTAATCTGGACAATTTATTATACTTTCTTTGAAAATATTTTAACATAGTATAGTTTTTCCAATAATTATTAATTAAGTGAAATGTTATTAAACATAATATATTAGTCCTTAAACTTAATAAAACACCAATATTAAATTCCATTCTGCCTGACACAAAAGTTATGTATATTATGTACTATATTTAATATTATGTAATTGAAGGATGATGGACTTTCAATACTACAGCTAAAAAGATTTATCCTAATTGATAGCTTTGCATTACTGAGTCTTAACTATGTTAGTTAATTCTTAAATCTTCATATAATTTGCAATAAATAACTTAAATATCTTAATTAAAATTATATAGAACTAACGATTTATCAAATCTTAAGTGATAAATTAAGAGTTGTGAGGTCTTTTACTCCCATGATTACTTTTTCTTGATGATATACAAAAGTAGTGGTGTAAATTCTAGTGAATGAACACTGTCTCTTTTTTAATTATAAAGAGCATGATCACTATAAGCTACAACATAAAATTTGTATAATACTGGCACTATTTTATAGATGTAAGCAACTAAAATTTCAAAATAATGAAGTATATACTAATAGACACCAGTCTCACAGTGCATCTTTGAAATTTACAACTAGTTAACCTAACAATAATTCAAATTTTCACTTTAGAATTTATTTCATTTTAAAAATCCATCTAAAAGCGGGCATTAAAATGGAATGCACATTAAATAAGTGCAAGAGATAAACATAACTTCTGGTTGTTTATGATTTAAAAATTATGAGATCTTACCTTTAATACAGATGCGATAGTATAGACTGAAAAATTGTCAATATTGACAAGACGGCCATGTTGAAGAAAATGAATAAGCTTCTTCATGTTACCCTGATGCCCTGGTGCTCGAAATATGTCTTTCTTATATGGACCTTCTTTGTTCAATTTTAATATTAAAACCTAACATAAAAAGACAGACACGGCCATATAATATACAAATCATACTAGTGATAGATGTATTATACAGTTTATTTCGCAAAAATCTAAACAATAAATTAAAGTACAATGGAATATGGAAAATTTTTGAAATATTTATACTCCCAATATATATATATACATGTATGTATGTATGTCCAACAAAGTTTATCTCATAATGCATTGAAAAATACAAAATAATATGATTGATCAACTGACAAATAATTTCACTTGAATAACAATAACAGATAACCTGATAAATGTGTCTGAATCTGGTTATTATGAACAAATTCTAAGTGTATGACAGATATAAAATGTTAATGTTTGCAAAGTTATAAATATGAATGTTCTCTAAATATCATTTTTTGTACTGATTTTGTAAATTATATTTATTAGTGAAAACATAATAGCACATATATTGGTTTGTTTGTTATAAATAATATGTGTTATATGTATACTATAAAGGCATATTATGTGTGAAAAAAAATATTTTCATTATTACAGCTAATTTTAATTTGCAAATTAGATTTATTACTGGAAACATAAAATATATATATTGGTTTACATATTATAAATAACAATATCTCCTGTATGAATACAATAAAGACATATTATATGTGGAAACAAATATACTATTACTACTGCCAATTATAAGAACAATTTGTTTATGCTAACAGAGTGGCATGTTACCGCAGATGCAAGCCACAGTGCCACAAGCAACACGTTTAGCACCTATAGATTTGGTATATATTGAGTTCTTAACCACCAAACAATGCAATGTCACACATAAGACGTAGGACTAAAGAAATATGTCATAGTCCTGGCATGAAGAAGAATAATTGTACAATAAAATAACACAGTTGCAAAGTCCAAGGCACAGCATTTTTAAATACAACACAGTGAAAGAACTACCAAAGGAAGATCAGGAAACCCATATGAGGATGTAGAACTACATACTGGACAGACACTTCAATTGTCAAAGTTCACAGACTTGTTATCCTGAAACCACCACACACTGGCATTTAAATAAGCCATGTAGATTGTAATCAGTGCTCATGTTATCCTCTTCACTGACACACCTATGAAGCTATCTGACTGTGCACCAATGGACCTCTATGTATTTAGTTTGTTTAAGTATGGTTCCCAGAGCCAAAGTCCAAACACAGTGAAAGGTCTATGGGAAGTTTGTCAAGATGTGTGATCTACGATTTACCTCATAATCTTTAATGCTTATTACAATGGAAATTACAATATAAAGCAACAATGAGTAATAATGACCATCAGACCAAACAAGATCAATGATGGGCAAATTAGTATCAGGAGTATCATAGGACCTAAAACATCATTCTTATAAACTGAGTTATGTCACTGAAGTAAGCAGCTGATCTTATAACATATAACCTCATGTGGCCTTTATAATATAATAATAATTGAATTTTTTAAATAGTTTTGTCAAGGTTTCAAGTACCATCAAAGATGTTGAACATTCAGACAAACATATCTAACAAATCATATTTATATCTTATTATTTGTTTAAACTTACTTGAATAGTTTAAACAAACTGCAATTGTTGCAAATAGTAAATTCCATAACTCAGCATTAAAGATTTAAAGGCAGCTTGCCACTCATTAGTGGAATAATTAGTATTCTAACATGTTTTGAATGTGTAGCACATCTAAACTTACTTTTTGTTTATAGACTCACATATCTGGCCAGTTCCTTGACACATCTACTTGTTGTTGGTGTTCCTAGTGTTGGAGGGATAACATACTGTGCATATACTTAAATGTCACCATCTTTTATTATTTTCTATGACATATTTGACTGTTTCAATAATGAAAGACAAATATTTTTATCTTTTGTTAATACATTTTTAGGAAATTATTGTATTTATAAGATAATGTAGATCATCTGACATACCATTTCTTCATTAACTGCACAATTCTTATTCTAATATGTAAGTTTAGTACATTTCACAATAGTTTTTTTTTAAATATAAGAATGAATACAATAAACTCTATGCTCATTTTGATATCCTACTTATGTGTAAGATGTGTCATTAGAATAACTAACACAGCAGAAATGCAACTTTTATAAATGCAAAAAATTCTGCATTTTTAAAATTTGTGAAACTTTTATCAATAACTGTACAAATATAAAATAAATATATATCAAAAATTGTCATCTTTTTAAGTGACAACAGGTACAAGTGATAGGTCTTGTAAGTCATGTGAAATAATTAATGTATATTAGTAAAACCGTGTATGATACACTTTTGTGACTCATATGTTCTGTACTGTAAGAATTTTCTACTTCTCATTTATTCAAAAACATAAGTTTAAAGATTTTTACTATGTTGTTCTTAAACTTCTACTTTAATCAGAGGTAGGACATATGAATCTGAAGCTATTTAATCATTAATCATTTTATACATACAGTATATTTTACATTATTTACACATGAACTAAAGTGATGTTATAAGAGTATACACAGACGTTTTTATGTACAGTAGCAGGAATTCTATGATGTGTTCCACATAGTGTCACTAGTAATAAATTTTTCTTTTGTACCAGTACCTTTCTGTTACTTTATTATTCAAAACAAAGAAATATGATTAAGTACTTGTAATATAGAGAAAATTGTGTTGTTACCTTTTTTATATGTTACTTTATTCCTCAAAACAATGAAGTTAATCAAAATAAGATCTGTTACTTACAGATACAACCTTGTATTAGATCAATTAGAATAATGATCAAAATGTTTGTTCAAATGTGCAAGTGGTACAAAAGCAATAAACTAGTTCAGTAGTAATATTACCTAACTGCACAATGTTAAACAAAAAGTGGTCTTTTTTTAAAAATCCAAACATTAAAGTAAAAAAAAAAAAAAGAACTATACTAGCACAGTTCAAATGAAAAATATTTGTGAATCATGGTATACTATACATACTGTTTGTCTACTCATTTTCAACTATACTATGAAAACTTTGTCTCTGAATATTTATGAGAAACCATTAAAGTTTAAGCATAATAGTCGGTGAAACAATTTTTAAGTAATCTGTAGTCTAACCCAACAACCAGCACATCTATTCTAATAGTTGGAAAGGCACCATCAGTTAGATAAACAATTTACATAACGTTTTCACACATATCCATTTTTATGCTTATTCAGTTTGAACACTTTATTTTCAATAGAAAGCAATTGCATATATATATATATATTCTGTAAATAAAAATAATTTTGACCATACTCTAGTCAAAAGCAGCCACAATGTAATGGGTTTGCTCTTTTTCTAATTAACTTCCCAGACAGCGAGACATGTCTCTGAACTATTCGGGAGGGGGGGGGGGTGCTTGCTGTAGACTATTTTTAGCACAACGTGTATTCACACGAGGCTTCCTAGGTACACGTAAAAGGCAGGACTTGACAACACGTCGGTTCAATGCTTGAATGACGTCACAACATAAACAGCCAGCAAGAGATCGATGACCGAACCGTTGGAAAAGGTACATTTAAACTGGGATAATGTGTTTCCTGTAAACACAATTCGAACTAAAAAACTGCGCCTTTTTTTCCTTTGATCCAAACAGCCTTGTTAAATTTAATTGAAAACTGCCTAGCCAACATTTCTTGAAGACGTTCACAAAAACATATGCTAAAAACTAATAACCATTATCACAAACTCGGAATGTTCATCATACGTAGATTCATGAGGTGATGTTTTTGATTGTTTTGTAGTTAAGCGCAAAGCTACACAATGTACCATATGCACTATGCTCACCGCAGGGAACAATTTCCGATTTTTTTACGTTTAAAGCTCTCTAATTAACTGCTGAGCCATTGTGGTTTTGAATTAAGAGGTTTGATAACATTTCGCAATTCCGAATAGGGATGAAAATTCCTCAATATATATATATACAATAAAACTTTTACTTGAACTCTAGAAAAATATACACGTATACATTTTATGTTAATTAAATATATATGTTTGGAAACTTTTATTTGATATCACTTTAAAATTTTCCAGTTAAACAAAATCGATAACATTTCGTTAACTGGTGATTTTTTAACGAAAAACCAAACCACATTCTGGATAATAAATTCTTAATTAGAAGAAAGACGATCCTCACAGCTATTAGCGATTTTGGTGCACGTAAGTTCTTTATAAACGACAAAGGGGCACATGTGGGGAATCTAGATTTTTTCATTATATGATTAGTTTGTCCCATGTAATAAATGAGAAACGACTTATAAAAGACAGTGATTTAGCATACTTTACTCTGAGGAGTTTATTTATTCATTTAATGTATCACAAAGTTATATATATATATATTGTTACGACGGCGGAAGTCACGTGACGCTGGTAACACGTCACGAGGTTCTAGAACGTTCATGTCCCTTCCTGAAGCCTCGAGTGTTTACTAGATATGCGGTATTCTTATATATAAGACCGCCAAGATGTGACGGCAACAATGGAATTGAACTGCAGACAGAGATAGAGACAGACAGTTGAGTCGAGCACGTGAGTCGTTCTTTGTGAATTATAGCGTTTGTTATAGCGTGACTGTGGAAATTAAGTGTATTGCAAAGTTGTATTCAGAAAGAATAAACAAGTTTTATTTAAGAAAGGGGTTGTATCGCTAAAGTTTCTTCGGAAAGAATTTTTATGGAAAATTAACTAATGATCAGAGACGTAACAATATATAATTTATCTTTAGTAAAATTTTGGTGACATATGTACACACAGTACCATCGTAACAGTAGAAGATATCATCATTCAGGTTTACACAACAGACTGTAAATGAAAAGTCTTGTGTTATTTGGATGTTATAATTAATGTTATAGTATTAGCCATAAAAAGTTCATTTAGAAATACAGCAAAGTAAATAGTTAATTTTACAGTATTAGCCATAGTTAATTTAGAAATACAGCAAAGTAAATAGTTAATTTTACAGTATTAGCCATAAAAAGTTAATTTAGAAATACAGCAAAGTAAATAGTTAATTTTACAGTATTAGCCATAAAAAGTTAATTTAGAAATACAGCAAAGTAAATAGTTAATCTTTAGTAGGTTCTCTTCTATTTGTTCGTTTGTTTCGGATATCGCGCAAAGCTTTTGCTTTGTTTGTTTGTTTGAAGTTAAGCACAAAGCTACACAATGGGCTATCTGTGCTCTTCTCACCACGAGTATCGAAACCCGGTTTCTAGCGTTGTAAGTCCATAGAAATACCACTGTGCCACTGGGGTCTCGCACGAAGCTACACAAGGATTAGCTGAAGAACTATCCCTCGTTTTGAACTGACAGATCAAAGGGAAGGCAGGTACTGAACAGCATCCACAATCAACTTTTTGGTTACTCTAATCAGATAGTGGGATTTGATCGTCACTATTATAACGCGCCCATGGCCCCAAAGTGCTGGCCAAAATATTTCGGTGACGGGACGAGAACCGTGGACCTTCAGATTCACAAAAATGACTACAATCCACTAGGCACGTACGGCTGCGGTCCTCCTCTAACCTTAACTAAATTATGAAATTGCTCAAATAAAGATGTTACTTGTGGCATTCAAGTTTTATCTACAAAGGGTTTGTAGCAGTTGGATTTATTGATCAACATATAATAAAGCATAAGGTAATAAAGCTTCGTATTTAACGGTAAATATTTTGAACTACGGAACAATGATAATTACTCCAAAACATTTTCGTTTATTTCGGATCTATACAACTTTTACGGTAAAAACCTTCACTTGAACCCTAGAAAAAAATCTCTCACACACATATGTATACAATAATTTTATACTGTCCTAAATATATAGTAAAGCTTGAAACTAATTTCATATTCTAAGAAATACGCATTAAATAATTTAACAATTTCTGCTCTAGTCTTCATGACAAAAACACCTTATAATGCCATGCTAATCCCCAGAGTAAGAAGTTTAGCCTTAAAATAAGATCGAATACGTATCATGTTTAAACGCATTGTTACGTCTCTGTTCGTTTGTTAATTCTTCGTAAAAATTCTTTCCGAAGAAACTTTAGCGATACAAGTCCTTTCTTAAATAAAACTAGTTTATTTCCACAGTGACGCTATAACTTAAACAAACGCTATAATTCACAACTAACGAACGATTCACGCGCTTGACTCAATTGTCGTCTCTATCTCTGTCTGCAGTTCAATTCCATTGTTGCCGTCACATCTTGGCGGTCTTATATACAAGAATACCGCACTTCTAGTAAACACTGGAGGCTTCGCGAAGGGACATGAATTTTCTAGAAGCCAATGACGTGTTACTAGCGTCACGTGACCTCCGCTGTCGTAACAGTATTATAAAATGAAACACTTAGCTCAGACAAGATATTGGCACATGGTCCCAGCAAGCATGTGTTCAAACATAATCGCACCAAGGATATACACACTAACATACAATGTCACTAAATGACAGTACACACAATTTTATAAATGTAACAAAATCTCCAACAAAATTTAACTAATGAAATGTTAAAAGACAAGTTGGCTAGAGCTTGCTGTTTTACACATGGAACTAGGAGTTGATATTCATGTTACTGCTCCTAGTTAAGATATTAGGCTCTACTTTATAGCTAAAACAAACTTATTTATGACTTAACTAGATATATTAATTTATTGGTGAAAAACTTGAAATCCTCTAGAATAAATCAATCAAACAAAGATAGAACATTACTTGAATTTGATAAGGAGTAACCCACTTTGAAAAGAAAAGTTTCTAGT